TTATGTGAATAAAATAATTAATTCAAATAAAAACAACCAAAATGAAAGAACATTAGAAACAAGATTAAGTGATTCGTGTTTTAGTTCTTTCATCATGTATATAATGAGGTACGCTCAATTTGACTCTTGTCAATTATATCAACTTACAGTCCCAAACGTCAACAGTTCGATCCTACATTTGAAACAAACAAGAAAAGAAAATCAAACTGAGTTTTTAGAACTCAATTTATGGTGAAACCAAGTTTTGATAGGGCTTCAAACGGAGTGCTAAAAGCTAAAATATCTTGAAAATCAGTCTTATGCATTGGGCATAAAACAATTGAATGTGTAGCAATAACTATTGCTATCAACCATGACGTTTAAAAAGATTGTACAGACTTATTTTATGGCAGAAGAGAATGATAATTGATCCATTAAGAACAACCTTCTTATGTCACTGATACCAATCATCCTCATTTCTTTCCAGTCATACTCGCAACCACCTACAAATTTGACATTACAGAAATTTAAAATGAACATTGTAAGAAAAGGAATTATTAGTGACACCAAAATTGAGATACACTAAAACGAATGAATAAAAAAATTTCTCCAATCAAAGAAAGGGAAAAACAAGAAATTGTTGGTTTTTTTAGGGTAGCTTTATTGATTGTTCCCCACTTAGATACTGGCTGGCATATGTTTTTGGAAAGTGGCAAGAAATCTCACTTACCATAGGCTGAGAATGATAATAAGTACCAAAGAAACATAAACTTCAAGACATAAGCAAAGAAACTCACGTTTACATTTGGCCCAAATGATCCAACCAAACCAGGCAATCAGAAAACAATGAATGTCTAAAACTTATCAAGATTCCGTACTTACATCACTTAATACAGGCTGAGGAGCTTGCTTAGATGCTTCGTATGAATCCAGAATTGGCCTTACAACGGCAGGAAGGAAAAGACCTACAAGGTTTGTAATATGTTAGAAACCAAAATGTAGACATATGTTCCATGTGGTACCCAATCAAACCAAAAAAGCGCGTAAAAATTAGACTTGATCTCGCTTATCAGTTTATCATGAAAAATGGAGGTAAGGCGGTAATTCCACCTCTCATTCTCTCTTGCTTCATCAAGATGTTGAAAATGGATATTAATCAATGGAGTTTATTGGTTGTAGGGAAGAAATAAGTCATTTTTCTTTTAGTTCAGTTTTTGGTTATTGTGGTAAGAAACACAAAAAGTCCAAATGTAGTACCTTTTTAAGGAGAACAAACAAAGCTAAGGATATACTTATTTGTGGAAGAAAGAAACCTTTGAAACTTTAGGTCAAGGTTGCAGAGATTCATCCAATGCATGTCCACGATTATCAACTTGATAGATTGTTTCCATGCTTGCATACAAATTAGAGAAAACCTATGCAGCTTTAACCATGCTATATCGAAATTAAAATTCCAAATACTGGAAGCTTCGTGGTTCGAGTGGTGATGTTAGACATAGCTTCCGAAAGTTGAGGTTCCTCTTTGAAGTACAAAAATTTGATTATGTTTTACACTTGGGGAGTGAAAATGCTAGATGAATCATCAACATCTTCGAGAATAAATAGAATGGGACCAAGGAAGGTGAAAAGCCAGAAGAGATCTCTGAATGGAAGAACGGATTGGAAATGAAGTTGATTGTGTATTATATGATATCAGCCTAACTAGTGAAGTACCCCGTGACAACTTTAAATGACAGGGATGGTGGTTTTTGTTCCCATATGTTAAGAGTACCAGTAGGGAAATAGTGGAATATTATTAGGTAAATTGACAATTAACATGGACATATTTGTAATTACCTAAGAAGTTGTTGGGGTGGAAGGTAATGAACAGTGAGAGTTAAGTTCGGCAAAACTTTGTGAATTCGTTGTCTTGTGGGAGAGAGATAGTCCACTCAAAAGGATATTATCGTTGTAAGTGTAACAGCCCAAGCCCACCGCTAGCAGATATTGTTCTCTTTGAGCTTTCCTTTCAAGGTTTTTAAAACACGTCTGCTAGGGAGAGGTTTCCACACCCTTATAAGGAGTGTTTTGTTCTCCTCTCCAATCGATGTGGGTTCTCACAATCCACCCTCCTTGGGGACCCAACGTCCTCGCTGACACACCGCTCGGCTTCTGGCTCTAATACCATTTGTGACAAACCAAACCTACCGCTAGCAAATATTACCCTATTTGAGCTTTCCCTTTCGGGCTTCCCTCAAGGTTTTTAAAACGCGTCTGCTAGAGAGAAGTTTCCACAACCTTATAAGGAATGTTTCGTTCTTCTCTCCAATCGATGTGGGATCTTAAAATAAGTGTTCTTTCATATTGCTTTATAGTTCTATTTGTTATTTTCTTGCCATTTGGGTCCTATCAATTTGCTATTGTGTTTCCTTTAACAACTTGTGACTAGTTGGTATACATATCAATTTGCTATTGTGTTTCATATTGCTTTATAGTTCTATTTGTTATTTTCTTGCCATTTGGGTCCTATCAATTTGCTATTGTGTTTCCTTTAGCAACTTGTGACTAGTTGGTATACATATGCAGGTAAGTGGCTCAAAATTCTGGTAGGTTGCCAATCCTAGGAGTGTTCGGGAGCACAGGGCTAATTGGCTGAAGATGCCCAGTTCTCAGTGATGCTAAATTATCTGTGGAACTTAAATCCAATTCTGGGAACAAATTTCCCCCAATCTATCTTGCAAAACATCTCCAAATGGAACAGGACATAGTTTCTCTGTGAAGGATGAACTTATAAAACCTTCTTTCTCAAATTGAAACTGCTAGGAATAGAATAATAACGTTGTAAACTTTCCACTAGAATGTTTTCAACTTAGCAAGCACCCTTTTTTCCCACAATTTTCCAACATTTGATAAGCTGAGCAAGAAGCCTCAGAATTATTATGAAATTGATTACCCAATATACAAGCAGTTTTAACTGAAGAAAGACCTCAAGAGTCTAAACTCCATAAAATCTTATCCCTTGCATTGCCACCTATATTAGCAATTATTTCAAACCCTCATTTCAGTGTTGATTAAAAAGTTCCAGATAGTCCACACTTGATGCTAAAGCTAGGTGGAGCATCTAATATTGTTGAGTGATGGGCAACATTTTCTTTTATAACTACAATTAAATTACAACTACAGTTCATTTTCTTTGAACCGTAGTTCGTCTATAATGGTAAATCCTTGATTTCTCTATTTCATATTTATACTCTATCGGTGGTACATTTTCAACCATGCAGTGTTATGATATTGACACTCTCATGACAAGTCTTAAGGGGAGCTCAAGCCTCATTCACATTTTTCACCCGTTTTCGTGGCTTTATCGGACCTTAGTTGAGGTTCTCCTTCATCAATCGAACACAACTCGTGCGAAATCTAAGCTTGTTCAACCACACACACTCCTAGTCAACTTGTCTCTACACTAGGCCTAGTCATTTGGCTTGACCTTGCCTCTATTCTACGCCAAGGTCTCTCAAGTGCAACATCGCATCTCAGTCATTATCTTGGTTCCCAACAATGCAACCCATGCGTCATGATGTCATCCCATTTCTCGAGATAGCTCGGCCATCTTCGCTTGCTTGTACATTTCTATTGAAAAGGTGTGTATGTCTTGGGCTAGCATCTCACTTTGGTAGCTGGCTCAAAGGTCCAAAACTCCCATCCCGAACATTAATGAGCATTTAAACCAATAAATCCCAACATCTTACCAAATTTATGGTCACTAGAAACACCGAAACAAAATAGTTATAGGCAAAGTTGAATCCTACCAACAAGGTTGAAATACGAAAATCTATTTAGTCAGATAACGGAGCTTTCAATCGACATTGTTTCTTCGCATCCGAAACTATATAAACTACCCAAAAAGAAAACATTTAAATATGATCTTCCCAATAGATAGATATGAGCGACAATTGAAAGAAAACATATGGTTTCATGCCATCGATCAAAAGAAATGAAAAATTGAACGATAATTAGGGCTCTAAACAGGAAAGAGCAAGTACCAACTCCTCCGATTAGACAAGATGCAACCACCACGGGCTCTTGAACTACGAACATCTTCAGCTTCTCCATGACCGGCATTTTCTTGAAGGTTTCGTCTGATTCGCTTCCTGAGCTGAACGTTCGTGGCTTGATTCTTCGAAGTCCAAAATTTATGGGTGAAAAGATTTGCGATTTTTGGATGGACCGGACCAGAGAAGGATAGAACCCAACCTGATTTTGATTTTTATAGTATTTTAGTTATTAATATAATAAATATAGTGGATAAATAATTATTTTTTAAATAATAATAAAAAATAAACTTAACCACTCAACTAAAAAATAGAAAGCTAAGTTGAGTTATAAACTTTGTTTGACTGGTTCGAGTTACTGACCTAATTCAACTTAAAATTTGGAATTGATCCATAAGATTTTTCGAGCCCGACTCAATTCAACCCGTACACCTTTAACCCATTATGTAGATTTGTATTTTATATATTTTTTTAAAATTATATAATATAAAAACTATTAAAATGACGATTTTTTTTAATTTTCCCTTCGTAAACTATATGAAATATGATGCCTTAATCATGCCACAAAGACTACATAATGAATGACAAAATTATACCACACAAATTTAGATTCATTAAGATTTCATTATAATATTATTTTAAAGATATTAAATTACAATGATCATTGTGATATTGACTGACACAAGAGTTAGTACGAAGATTATGAATATTAAAATGAAAATGAGATATTATGGTAAGTCATGAAATTGTTCCTTTGCATCCCTTTGTTAGTATTGATTTAGACTTTGATTTAGTTGCTTGGATTAACTTTGATTTAGTCATTTGAATTAGATTTGATTTAGTACAGATTTAGTGAGATTTCTTCTAATTTATCTAAACTTTCTAGTTTTCTCTCCGGGTTCCTAATATTGTGGTATCAGAGTCATGCCCTAAACTAGTTAAAACTAGAAGCAACAGTCTTCTTATGTGTGTCATAACAAAAGTATGTCGATGGAGAGTCCTTTTGTGCCTGCTGGAGGAAGGCATCAAGGTCGTGGAAGCTTTAGAGGTAGAGGAAGGGGACGAGGCAAACAAACCTTCAACAAGGCCATAGTGGAGTGCTATAACTATCACAAGCCAGGACATTTTCAATGGGAATGTCAAAGCAATACCAGGCGAGACCGACAAACCTTCAACAAGGCCAATAGAGAAGATATGTGGTTCCTTGACTCGGGATGTAGCAATCATATGTGTGGGAAGAAGGAATATTTTTCAGATTTTGATGGAAGTTTCAGAGATTCAATGAAGCTGGGCAACAACTCAAGCATGGTTGTAACCGAAAAGGGTAATGTACGACTGCAAGTGAATGGAATCATAATGATAATCACAGGAGTGTTTTATGTGCCAGACCTGAGGAACAATTTGTTGAGTATTGGTAAATTGCAAGCAAAGGGGGTTACCTTTTTGTTTCAAAATGGAACGTGCAAGGGGTTTCATCCTGAGAGAGGCTTAATCATGAAGACAAAGATGTCCTCGAATCGAATGTTCGCACTGCATGCTATACTTCAGCCTGTAGCATCCACTTCAATACAATCACAGAAGATATTGAGCAACTTTGGCATTGTAGATATGAACATTTGGGCTTTAAGAGATTAAAGACTCTTCAGCGAAAGAAGATGGTGGATGGTTTACCACAACTCAAGTCTCCATTGAAACTGTGTAAAAATTGTTCTGGTGGGTAAGCAACAAAGGCACTCGTTTTCAAAAAGGAGCACATGGCGAGCTTGAAAAATTCTCCAATTGGTGCATGCTGATATTTGTGGACCGATCAAACCCATCTCAAACAGCAAGAGAAGGTACTTGATTACTTTCTTTCCAAAAAGGAGCACATGGCGAGCTTCAAAAATTCTCCAATTGGTGCATGCTGGTAGGTACTTATTACTTTCACAGATGACTTCAGTAGAAAAACATGGGTCTATTTCTTAATAGAAAAATGAGAAGCCTTTGCTGTATTTAAAAACTTTAAGATTCATGTTGAGAAGGAAACAAAATCATTTATTAAAGTCTTACGAACGGATCGAGGAGGAGAGTTTACATCACAATAATTCACCAATTTTTGTGATGTAAATGGTATCCAAAGACAAATGACAGCTGCATACATGCCACAATAAAACAGAGTTGCGAAATGGAAAAATAGAACTATTATGAATATGGTTTGTATTATGATTTCAGAAAAGAAAATTCCGAAAAGTTTTGGCCTGAAGTAGTTAACTGGACTGTGCATGTAATAAATCGAAGTCCAACATTGGCTGTAAAAAATAAAACTCCAGAAGAAGCTTGGAGTCGAGTCAAACCTTCAGTTAAGTATTTTAGAGTTTTTGGATGTATCTCTCATGTTCATGTGCCTGACCATAAAAGAACTAAGCTGAATGATAAGAGTTTGAATTGTGTCTTGCTGGGAGTTAGCGAAGAGTCTAAGGCTTACATTTGAGTTGGGAGTTAGTGAAGAGTCAAAGGCTTACATTTGAGTTGTGTCTTGCTGGGAGTTAGTGAAGAGTCAAAGGCTTACAGACTCTATGATCCAACTTCACAAAGGATCATAATAAGTAGGGATGTTGTATTCGAGGAAGATAAGAGTTGAGACTGGGATAAGACCTATGAAGAATCCATTATGTGCGATCTAGAATGGGGTGATCAAGAGGAGGCAGCAAATGTGTTTGATGAAAACGAAAAAGGGAGCGAATCTGATATAGAAGCTGCAGAGGAAAATATTTCCTCTGGCTCTTTCGCTGAAGCGAGCTCTCCTTCTCCGACTGAAGCAAACCCTCGAAGGAAATCTGATATAGAAACTGAAGAGGAAAATATTTCCTCTTGCTCTTTGGCTGAAGCGAGCTCTTCTTCTCCAGCTGAATCTAACTCTCGAAGGAATAAGAGACCATCAGTCTGGATGAGAGACTATGTAACAGGAGAAGATCTTTCTGAAGAAGATAATGAAACTCACTTGGCCATGTCTACCACTACTGATCCTGTAAACTCTGAGGACGCATTGAAGAGTGAGAAATGGAGGCAAGCCATAGATTTGGAAATGGAAGCAATAAACAGAAATGACACACACATTAAAGAGGGAGAAATGGAGGCAAGCCATGGATTTGAAAATGGAAGCAATAAACAGAAATGACACATAGGAATTGAAGGAGTTACCTAAGGGAGGAAAGAAGGTTGGAGTAAAATGGATTTATAAGATGAAATTCAATGAAAATGGGGAAGTCGACAAATACAAGGCTAGGCTTGTAGCAAAGGGGTATACTCAACAACATGGGATAGACTATACTGAAGTATTTGCACCTGTTGCGCGTACGGAGACAATTCGTTTGCTCGTTTGGTGGTAGCTCTGCTATCAAGCTTTCAAAAAACCCAGTAATGCACGGTCGTGCATTATTGTTTGGAATGGATAAAAATAATTCTGTTCATAATCCTATTGTCCCAGGATGCAAACTTATGAAAGATGAAGATGGAATAAACATGGACAAAACATACTATAAGCAAGTTGTAGGCCGTCTTAATTATCTCACAGCAACTCGACCAAACATAATGTTTGCAGTGCGATTCTGATCAGTAGATATATGGAGAATCCCACTAAGCTTCATTTACAGGCAGCAAAAAGGGTACTACGTTATTTGAAGGGAACAAATGAGTTTGAAATTTTCTATCGGAAAGGAGGAGATGATGATTTTGTTGCATACATAGACATGATTACGCTGCATACATAGACATGATTACGCTGGAGATTTGGATGAGAGAAAGAGTACTTCAGGCTATGTGTTCTTATTGAGTTCTGGAGGAGTATCATGGTCATCAAAGAAACAACCAATAATAAGTCTATCTTCCAGAGAGGCAAAATTCATAGCTGTAGCTTCATGTCTATCTTCCACATAGACAGAATTCATAGCTGCAGTCATGTGCATGCTAGGCAGTATGGTTAAAAAGGGTGTTGGAAAAACTGGTTAGAATCAAGACAAGTCAACTATTATTAGTTGTGATAGTAGCTATGCTATCAAGCTTTCAAAAAACCCAGTAATGCACGATCGGAGTAAACACATAGATGTGTGTTTCCATTTCCTTCGAGAGCTCACAAAGGTTGGCACTGTGGAGTTGGTGCATTGTGGCCCACAAGAACAGTTAGCTGATGTGATGACGAAATCACTAAAAGAGCATTGTGGCCTACAAGAACAGTTAGCTGATGTGATGACTAAACCACTAAAATTGGATCTTTGTTCAGATATAAATTAATTACTATTTATGTTCCGTTTAAGTTAGCTGATGTGATGACTAAACCACTAAAAGTGCATTGTGGCCCACAACAACAGTTGTGATGACTAAACCACTAAGATTGGAGTCCCATTTATATTTGCAAGTTAAAGATACAACAGTTAGTTGATGTCTGTGGAGTGATTTAAATCACAAATTTACAAATTTAGAAACATGTTTTATTTTCTTTTTATTTGGATCTTAATACGAATAATTTTGAATCTAAAAGAGTTTCCTCACCCAAAAAAAATCTGCCCCAACCATTTATGATGCTTAGCTAAGGTATCGTGAAAAGCGTAATTCTTGTAATACCCTCTGTTAATATCAATATCTTTTAGTACAACAAATGTGCAGTTTGAAAAGTTAAATGTTCGACCATAATTCAATTATCACTAAACTACGCTCATAGAGCTTGTCAGGCTCTAAAACTGAACCCACCAGACCATATCTTTGATGCTACCTGTTTCTTCATCCTCAAGGATTGGGAGGCAAGCACATTCTGTAAAGCCCTTCCAGCCTCTTTTAACTGTTCCTGCAGCCTTCTTTTTTCCTCATCTACCTCTGGATTTGCAGTTCCAAGCATCTCTTCCCTCACTTTAAGGATGTCTTCTAATATCTCAATGCCTTCTTCCACCCTGCATATATTATCAACCAAATTATTTTCAAATTCAATACAAAATCGAAAGTTTAGAACCTATCAACACACTTTTTGAAACAACGTTCATCGATCAAACCGGTATAACGTGATCACTATACTTATAATGTTGCATACCTCCCCATGGCATCATAAGCACCAGCAAGATTGCTAGAAACAGCAGGAGTATCAGAATGATAGACACCATAGTGCTCCACCAGCACCACCCTGGCCTTTTGAAACAGTCTAACCGCCTCCTCCTCTCTAACTGACATGGGATCATGTTTCCATTAGTAAGCAAGTAAGCAAGGTGGACCTGCAAGTCTCACCAACTTTAGGGTCAGAGTCAGGTAACCCATGAGTCTGGATCATCAAGCCAGTTTCATAACAAGAAATGGACTGATCCAACTGCCCCAACATAGAATAAGTATCCCCAAGCTGCATGTACCCGGAATATTTTGCCAAAGCATGGTCCGGGTCGTTTCTACGTTCCACAACCTCGATGGACAGCTCGAGAACGGGAATGGCCTCGTCTAACTGCCCGAGCCGGCAGTAAATGGCAGTGACCATGTGCAAGCTCATGGGCAGCTCGACGCCGGGACTCGGAAATCTCTCGAACGCTTGGCAGCTCGGACTGCATAGTCCAAAGCCTTGGTTGGACTCTCGCCCGAAATTATAGTGTCCCAAGCTAGCTTTAGTAGATATGGACCGTGGTCCGGGTTGTCGAGCCATGGTGATGTGGTGGTCTTGTGATCGTCGTCTATGGATGGGACTTGAATGCGAAGATGGGGTGTTGCCATTTTGATGATACAAATTGGGGAAGTAGGCAATGGAACCATAATAATACCCTATTTATGTGTTCTTTTGGTTTTTTATTTTTTTTAAAATTAAAAACTGACTACTTGTTATTATTTTTTCTTTTTTATTTTTGGGTTTAATTTGTATTAACAAACGAGATAAATGTTAACTAGTTATGTAGATAAACGAATTGTCTATCTCAATATAACTAGGTAGATAATTTCAAAGGTCGATATTTTGATCTGTTCGTTGTGTCGAGAAACATGAAGAAGAATGTAAGGTTGTTGGTGGTAGGGCAAGGTACTAATTGAAGAAGGTTGCGTAGAAGTAACTCTTTCATGATAAGGAAGGAGGAGAAGGTAGGTTTTGTATGAAAAAGAAGAGCAAAAATCATAATGAATTTTTATGATACAAACATTCTTTGCTTCTTCACCAATTCTTGCTTTTTCGGAATCTCTTTGATTGTTTAGTTTGTTTCTACGAGTGATATGATTTTATTTTTGGATGGAAATAATATAATATATTCTTTTAAACGTACTTTTGAAGTTAACGGTTCTCGTACATTTCACAACCCTATCAAAGTTTGAAAACTGTTCATCAAGTCCTCGTACTCTGGATCTACCAGATGGTGTACCTCATCTCTAGGAGACCAACTTTTCTGATTCGTAAAGGTTGCATTGTCACAATAGTGAACAACCAATATTCTGAGTTGATGTGCGACCTCATCATATCTCGTAGGACAATATGACGTCTCATCTAAACATTAACTAGGGATTCTTCAACAGGAAATACTTTAACGTATAGGGGAGGGAACCTGCGTGCCTGCTAACTACTAAGTCTACCCATGTGGTTCATCGCCCCTTCTTAGGGTTGGCTTACAGTATAATGAGCCCGTATAGGGGGGGGGACCCTTGACCATTTCAACACGTGATAGCGGCTCTCGTCATGAGCTAAACTACATATATAGTCTCTTGTCTTCACTACGAGGTTATGAAATCACAACCTAGGTTCTTGACCTCTTTCTACACATAATAGTAACTTCTCAAGTCGCTACAACACGCCATCCTATTTGACCTTGATCAAACTCGACGGTACCTATTCCTAGATGCCTAGGTTTGACCTAGGTCACCAAATAGTACTTTTGAAGTACCAAAGACAATAGGAGGTCATCGTGCTGAGGTCATCGTGCTGTGGTGATATCATTCATGCTACTAGCGCCCTCGTAAGCACTCTTTATATTTCTTGGGTGTCGTGGGGGTCTAATAGGATCTTAGGGTATCTAGGAAATTTAAACCTCAAACTCATATTTTTAGGACATTTGGAAAGTCGGGGATAAACTAATTTATGGGACCTTGTGGTGTTGACCACTGATCATCGCTCATAACCCTAAGGTGCTCAGTGTCACAGCCTCCTTGAGAGAAATTAGGTCATGACCCTACACTCAAGACATAGACGGGGCGACCCTCACATGGGGCCCATCTAGCCACGTAAGGGCCAAGGTAAAATAGTGTCATGATGTGACCGATGAGGACAGTGCATTGTCCTATGCACCAAAAGTGTGCATTAAAGCCAGCTGAGGCATAAACAAAGTGGGAGAGAACGAGGGGATATGAGTGTCAAATACAAGCTTGGAGAGGGCCAGGTAGGGCCTTAGGCCATAACCTCAAAAGTTAAAGTTTAACTATGAGTTTTGGTGTGTGATTTTAAGTTAACTTCGTCTATATGAAAGATGAAAATTCACCATATTTAGTTCCAATCAGATATTCGATGGACACTCCACATGGTTCAATAACTGCTCGCCAAATTAACGTTTACTCCAAAAAGATTAGAAATACGACAAAATGTACTATAGGTCTACCACCCTAGGCCATGTTGCTAAGCAAATTACCTTGGGGCACTTATGTGTGTCATAGTATGGATGAGCATTACGAGACGAGCGTCTTGGGTTACTTCCTTTAAAATAGGTCTTTCAAGGATAGTGTCAGATGATACATATGTGTCGATGTTGCGGCCCATCCTATGTGTGAGAGGTTGATATATGTACTACTATCTAGTAGGATCTCGTAAATGACAATATTTCTGAATAAGTTCTCGGATAACAATCCCAAGGGTTTTCTTATTGATGATAGTGACGATATGGATGATAGTGGCGATATTGATGATAGTGGCGATATTGATGATAGTGACGATATCGACCGTGACTTTGATACGGAGCTGGAGCTTCTAACTATGATGAATGCGCCGCTAACTATGGATATGAAGCCGGAAATAGACTGATGTTATATCACCCTTCAATTCAAATTAGCAACGTCTCCTTGCATAATATGGATTCCAAACATTCATGATCTGGATGTGAATGCGTCGAATTACTTATCCGTTGGTCTATTAGTGAACTATCTCTCCAGGGATTGTGAAAAATGTTTCACTAGAAATATTCTTGTTATTGCTTCGACCTTAGCATGGACACGAGAGCTTTCACACCTTGATGAGAACCCATATGGATGGATGCTTGGGTTGTCCCAATGAGATGAGCAACAAATGAATTGGTTTCGATAAACATGATGGAGCAAGCCAAGATGGTCAATCTATCCCGAGATATGGGATGGTCTCACGATGCATGAATTGGTCGATGGGAACCAAAATAGTAATTGAGATACGATGTTGCACATGAAAAACCTTGGCCTACGGTAGAGACAAGGTTGAGTCGGATGGCTTGGTTTAATGTAAAAGTAAGTTGGCTAGAATCGTAGACGATTGAACATGCACATAGAATGACGTGTGTAGCCGAACAAACTTAGATTTGCATGAGTTGTGTTCAGTTGGTGGAGGTGACGCTTGCCTAAGGTCTGACCAAGCCATAAAGTTTGGTTTGTCATCTTAATGAGGCTTGAAGATCTACTATGAAGATCTTAATGAGGCTTGAAGGTCTGACCAAGCCATAAAGAACAAACTACAAACGTCTTCAAAAGTAAGTTCAAATTTGAAGATCTACTATGATGTAGGTACCCAAAGATAAATGTACCCCGAGGAAGAGCCGTCAATATCATCATCGTGGGGCATAAACTCATCATAATAGGTTTGGAAGTCTGCGTTTGCCCAGACCTGGAAAGCAATTATCCTAACCATTGGATTACAATCGCCTTAATTTCATAGTTAAGGTCTCTCTATGAAACAAAAGTAAGTTTGAATTTGAAGACCTACTATGATGTTCATACCCAAAGATAAATGTATCCAGAGGGAAGAGCACGTGCTGGAGCATGTGTAATCATACATAAAACAATTTTTTTGACCAAACTAATAGTTGAGCCACTTCCTTGGTTGGTCTAGACAGAAGTTACTACGACCAATTGATGCTAGCTTAACTTGCTCTTTGAAATTTAATTCTACCTAAAAGAGTTCGAGAATCATAAATTAAAATTCCACCTTAAAAATTGGTTCACATAATTACTAAATTTTGCTCCAAATAATTTAAACTAACTATAAAATAGTCATATTAAACTTAAATGCTTCTAAACTGTGAAAATATCTAAGTAGGTCAAATTCAAGTTGAATAAGACAAAAAGCGGATTTGAAGCCAATTCTCTAATTGGCTTCAAATCGTTAAGGGATCTCTTTTCTCAACCTAACTAGTATGGACAACTTTACTACACATAAAGGAAACATTCTTTTGAACCGTTGATTTGAAGCCCACGTGTAACCACTAGTTGTATAACTCACCCCCATTTCACGTTGTCGTTTTTATTTTAACCTAATCGTTATAACCAAACAATTTCAAAGGTAAAGGTTACCATAAAACTTTAGAAATAATAAATACCGTATAAAAAAAATGAAACTTAGCTCAAAGTTTAAAATTTTAGGTATCATTTAACCTAAAATTTAATATCTATTTTGTGTTTCAAATAGTTATATGAAGCAGTAAAGATGATGGAAAATGGTTAAAAACATGAATTCATAAAACCGTACGACTGATACGTTTTAACCCTAGCAGAGGATCAAAGCTTAAAAGGAAAATGTAAGCACAGTGAAAGAAGAAGAAGAATAGGGTGAGTATTCATGGGGTAATTATGAGGTTACAGAGCGGTCAGCTACTGACAGTGGGAACTATTTTCACCTGGCAGTCAATTTCACATTTGACCTAATTTTAAGGCCTCTGAACCACCAAATTAACCTATGTCAAAACCCTTAAGTGACCCTTCCAAATTAACCATACTTGAGAGACGGTAGTATTTTAAGAAATATTCATTAAGTGACCCTTCCATCGAGGTTAAATGCAACCACATGCAATTGTGAGTGGGACCTATCATATCAATCTATTTTTCTAAGCGGCTATCATGAGTGGGGTAATTGGATGTGTATTTACTTTTCTACACACGGTCTACTCATTCAAGTATGGACCCACCCGTCGATTTGCACACCTCTTGGGCCCCTTTCTCATCGGGCGAGCATTCTCTGGTAGCTGTTGATATCGGATACTTGTTAGGAATAGCGACCATCATAGCAACATTATGGTAAACATAATGATTGTTTTCCCGTCTTATAATGTACGTGTCCGTACTATCGTAAAAAAAGGAGGGGTATACCCTAGTGGATGAACACACAATAATGCATGGGTCCCAACATTTTTACTTTTCATTATCATATGTGGCAACCCCCCTTTGGCGTCTTCATTTATATAATAATTTCCATGTGTATATCGAGGTTGTACATTATGCCAATTTATCATTTGCATGTAAATCATATCATATATCATTCATGTCGCACATATGTCAGATCATAAACTTATCATGTCTTCAAACGTATCAATTCATATCATGCACATATCATAACATTCACATAACATAGCTCGAGCATGCCTTCAAACATATCATATCATAACATCAAAAACATCGTACCATAACATATATCATATCATTCATATAACATGTCATAGTCATATCATTTTGTAAACATATCATAGTCATATCTTTTCATATACACTTCATACATATCAAACATATAACACGTGTAGAACCA